ATATATATCTCTCTATACTACTTTTATACTAATTTATAATAGAAATAATTATTTTATTATATCTTAATAACTACTTGGTATTTTTAAATAATATTTAGAATTGAATTATTTCTAGGTAAAATAGTGCGGGTTAGTTAAACCTAACTTAAAAAACTAAAACAACTAAAAACCATGATTTTTACCTAACCTAGATTAGGTCTGGGGTAGCCTAACTAAACCTGAAGCAGTTCCCTAGGCTTACCCCCGAACCCAACCCTGGGTTTGGTGAGGTTTGGGTTTGATTTTTGCGGGTTGGTTATGCAACTCTAGTAAGATATGGCTGACACCTATATACTATATATTTTAAGCTTTAGAAACTCTATATAAAAACCTATAGCTTCTATAGTCTTATATATACTATTAGTATAATTCGTGAAGAGTAGGCGTCCAGCCACCTATCTCCCACTAACCTAACCCCTCAGGCAAAAAGACAGACTTAGCGATAAGAGAGCGCGCAGAGGTTTCGGCTTATGGTAGTCATGTCTGTACAGGAACCACCATAGAATTCTGCTCATTCTCAATCTCCTTGAACTTTGTCAAGGGATTTGGGGACCGCCAGCGTGGAGCAATCGCAATGCGTGGGGAACCCGTCATTTCATCTTCATCTGCTCGAACTATCTCGTAGGCATTCAGTAAAATCCTCCATACCAAAGAGAAGACTATTGCAATCGAATCCCAAATCCTGGAAAATGTGGTCGAACAGGGACCCAGATGTGGCCTCTTCGAGCGGCAGCCCCCCAGTCACATCGGGAGGGGGATATTGCGTCTCCAGGATCCGTGTCGAGAGCAGTTCAAAGGTCCTGATGCACTGTTGGACGTACATACTCAGATGCTCATGTGCGCGGAGGGCCGACAGGACATCTCTCCACGACTGCGACACTGATGTGGTGAACAGGTCCGCGTCGAACATGGCCGCTAGAAAGTTGGTTCCGGCAATATGTAGATAGTATACTCGATACCACCATGGCAGGAGACCCATTGGTTCGTTTGGCTCCAGCGTCTCTATAATCAGTGACGTGAGCTTCTGCGCGGTTTCCACGCACATTCCGGCGCATTCTCTGAGAAGACGATCGCTTAGGCTTGGAGGGATGGGCTGTGCCTGGATTGTAGCCGGGTGGGACTTGAGAGAGTAGAGACGTGCGAGCATAGGTCTGTACAGGACGATTCGAGAGTGAAGGAGTCTATACAACGGGGTTAGCACGATATTTTCTCTACTTTCTGACTGAATCATGTAGAACGAGACAACAGTTGAATTAGTTGCATACCGAAGGTGAAGTACATATCGCTCTGCTCGGGAAGCCCTATCGACAACCTTCCCAAGGTTCTGCAACTTCCAGTCGCTGGGTAGACCATTTTCCCATTTGTTGAGGCAGGCATCTAGCTGCACCGCCACGGCGTGGTAATCGTCCTGTTGATATAGACGTGGCAGTCCCAATCTGGCAGCGAGAGGATTCCGAGTCTGTGTCTGTGCCAACTGAATCTGATTGCCAATTTCATGAAGCTCTCGCGAAAGATGCTCCGCATGTCTACCGCCCTCTAGGTAGCTCGCGCTTGTGGACATGGCGTCGGCCCTGTTCGGTAAGGGGATCAAGGACGGTGCCGATGTCCGGCCAAGAGACCAGGAGACGCAGCTTGGCGAGTCAGCAGGACTGCAGGTGGCATTCATTTTTGTATGTCTGTGGTACATACCGGTCTAGAGCCACACAGCCGGCCCATACCTTTTGTTTCAACAGCGTGTCATTGCAAGGATGCTTGGCCGAAGACCCCACGGGGAGATGGCAACACATACTCTGCGCAATGCGTATTGCCAACCCCGCTGTCATCCATGTCTTTAGTTGGTTGCTGGTGCAGTGGAGATATCGATTCATAAGCATCAAGCACTGGACCAGCTCGAGCGTTCCAGGCTTCCATAGAATTGTCTCCGGTCGGAGAAGCGCCCACGCGCGCTGGAAAAAGCGATTTCCCTCCTCGTCACGCTGTTGCGGAAGGATGGATTCTTGTCTCTGCACTGCCAGGGCAAAGACGACATTGAGTATGCTGAGCCAGACGTCACGGTCCGCGTGGAGCAGTGCGCCAGATCGGGAGTACGTTGCCTCATAGTCGTGTACGAAGCGTTCTCGACTCAGAACGGGTTCTAAGGGGTCGACGTATTCCCAGTATATACAGACAAGTCTATCGGCATGAGCGTGGGGAGGTAGTTCGGCGGCCGAGTTGAGAACGCTGTACGGAGAGTGCAGGTCTAACACTCCAAACAAGGGCGCATCCACAAACGGGACAAGATTTGAAGTAGCGGCCGGGACGAGCCCTGCTCTCACATCGATAGCGGCTGCCACTTCGCCAGCAAACTGACCATGGGTGCTGTAGTACGCACGACTTTGATCCCGATCGAGCTCCGGCTCTTGGTCTTCCTCGACACGCTCTAATCTGGAGAGAGGTACACGGGTCAACGGAGTCGCAAGCGAGCAGACTCCCAAGTTTGGAGACGACGCCGGGACGGGAATATGACAGCGGTTTGTTGGTGCCTTTGGGACCGGGGTTTTGCGCTTGGCTTGTCGCTCGAGGGCGCTGGAATCAGTGTTGTACGTGCATGCCTTTCCCCTCCGCACGCATCTAGTACAGGCTGCAAATGACACCACCAGTCAGTCTTATAGGAGGACATTATAGGGCCATGAAAATACCAGGACGACCGCCATCACATTTCGCCTTCCTCGACCGACAAGCCTGACAAGCGATGGAGATCTTCAATCGCTCCCTGCGCAGTGGTTTCGATAGGGTTTCTTGATGGTCTCTCATATTCAGAGACATAATCAATTTTTCAACTTCGCCAGTTGTCTTCGCTCCACACAGTAATGTATTGAAGCTTACATGAACAACGGCAGGGGAGTTGGAGATTGTCCGCACTCCGGCGACACGGAGACAAAGCATGCATTAGTCAAGGTATTATATGACACTGTCCCAATCATATTATGCTCCGCTCACTCATGACTCCATAGCGGAAAGACATATAATTGGCTCAGGCAAATATCCTGCATGTCAGCCAGTCAGCGTTACTTCCGCGCATCGAATAGTGCTAGTGTGACAGCCAATAAAACACAGGTCCGCCTCTGTATGTTCTTTGAGACTATCAACACATCAGCTATAAATCTTCAAAGACCAGAGCAATCTACAAAATGACATACTGTATGCTTATATATGACTTGTTTCTTTTCTGAGCTTCCTTTCAATAGACCTAAATCGCTCAAGTGTTGAAGCATGTCTCAACAAGCCGAACCTAAGACAGCAGCAGACCCTGAGGTCCAGCAAACTCTTATCTACAATGGCCAAGGCACCGAGGAAGACCCCTTCATAGTCGAATTTCAAAAGGATGATCCAGGGAATCCTATGAACTGGTCTCAATTCAGAAAATGGTTCATCACCGCCATTGTGACCTTCTCGGTCTTTGCCATCACCTTCACATCTTCGGCATACTCTGCTTCCGCAAATGAGCTCATTCCAGACTTCGGCATCAGCACAGAGGTGTTTACAGTTGGTCTGTCCCTCTTTGTCCTTGGATTTGCAATTGGCCCAGCTGTATGGGGTCCCTTGGTAAGCAGCGCTCTATTTGACGCCCTTAGTACACAAGCTGACTGTCCGTTCTTTTAGTAAGTCTTTAATCAACCATACGCAGATGCTTTCAGAACGCTAACCGCCGGCGATGCCTGTAGATCCGAGCTTTACGGAAGACAAGCTCTCTGGATTGTCTCTCACGTCGCCATGGTGGCGTTCATTGGAGGTTCCGCTGGAAGTCGAAACGTCACCACTCTCCTGGTGTTGCGATTCTTCAGCGGCACATTTGGAGGCTCGCCGTTGGTCAACTCGGGCGGTGCCATTGCAGATCTCTTCCCTCCGGCTCAGAGAGGCCTCGCCATGACACTGTACTGTGTTGCGCCCTTTCTTGGTCCCATCCTTGGTCCTATCGTTGGCGGGTTCGTCTCTGAAAACGTTGGATGGAGATGGGTCCAGGGGGTGTGCTGTATCTTCATCGGGGTGATTGGTATTATCGGCGTCATCTTTGTGCCGGAGACATATGGCCCGGTGCTACTGATCAGGAGGGCAAACCAACTGTCCAAAGCCAATGGTAAGGTTTACATCAGCGTTCTCGAGAAAAATCAAGGCAAGAAGAAGCCGTCGGAGGTCTTCCAGCGAGCTCTCATACGGCCTTGGGTCCTGCTCTTCCGCGAACCAATCGTGCTAGTGGCATCGCTCTACATGGCCATCATCTACGGCACGGTCTACATGTTCATGAGCGCCATGCCCATCGTCTATAACGAACAACGCGGCTGGAGCGAGGGCATCGGCGGGCTCGCCTTCATGGGTATTGCTGTCGGCATTATCATCGGACTACTCTACGCCATCTACGACAACAACAGACGTTACACAAAGCTCTTGTTGTCCAAATCAGCAACTGCCGAATCGCGACTCCCACCCGCCATCGTCGGCGCCGTCGCCCTTCCGGTCGGTATGTTCGCCTTCGCCTGGACTAATTACCCCCACATCCACTGGTCCGTCAGCATCATCCTCTCCGCGCCCTTCGGCTTCGGCTGCGTCCTCGTCATCCTGCCGATCGTCAACTACCTGATCGACGCGTACACCATCTACGCGGCGTCCGTTCTTGCAGCTGCGGCTATCTTCCGCTCGATCGTCGGGGCTGTGTTTCCCTTGTTTACGACTCAGATGTATGACAGACTTGGGATTCACTGGGCGAGTTCTCTACCAGCTTTTCTGACGGTAGCGTGCATGCCGTTTCCGTTTGTCATGTATCGCTATGGTGAGGCGCTGCGGATGAAGTGCAAGTATGCGTTCGAGGCTGCGGAGATGATGAGACGGATGCAGATGCATAAGGCCCCTGCTCCAGTCAAGGAGGAGGAGGATTCCCCTTCTGAGTGAGGAAGGTGGGTTTGGGCTCGAAGTGTGTCAGTGAGAGTGATGGACGTTGTCAGGGAAACAGACTTCATGGACTACGGAGGGAAATAGACTGTCAATATTAATACAACCGTGTTGACCGTAGCATATTAGTCGCAGCTATGTGAATAGCATTTTTAGACGTAGATAGACCAGAAATCAACAGGAAGAACTCCCTTCAGGAATTTTTTCTTATTTTGCTGATTGACATGTACAGGTTTTTGAATGTCGTGCTAAGTCTATCTAAGCTAAAATATAGGTTGAGAAATAGAGGATCAAAATATATACACGATTGTTTCGAAGAACCATCATATACTGACTGCTGCTGGTGCCGTGCTAGCGACCGACCGGGGTCAGGTGTCTACCGACTCACCGCGAATTTCCTCGCAATTTCCGCCTCGGTAAACTTCCTCGTCTTACTCTGCAGCATAGCCGCTCTCTCCTCGATCGACATGGAAATCTGATCGCCCATTGGGACGAGACACTTGGCCAGATGCACATAGTCCTTCCGGATGAGCCGGTAGGTGATCATGAGATAGTCGATATTGCGGAAGACCAGTGCATGCTCGCTCGCGTAGCGGTCCTTTTGCTTGAGAAAGGCGACCGGGTGCTCGCGCCAGTGACGGCGGGGATTGAGATGGTGAGAGGTGTGGTAGCCGTCGTTGAAGCAGAAGCGGTTACTCTGGTATTGTTAGCGATGCTAGTAGAATGGTAATAGGGAATCATACCGGAACATCTATCAGGGTGATACTAGATCTGAAATCCGAGTTGGGGTCTGTCTCGTCAACAAAGGCGTGCTGCCCCCAGTTGCCGATCATCAAGCCTAATCGGAGGAGACACAAGGGGAGGATGAAGACAAAGAGCGTTGCGTGAGCATTCACGAAGCGATACATTACGTAGATGAAGAGGTAGTTTCCGATCTCCCAGAAACCCGCCTTGAGACCTTGGAGGAACTGGCCTTTGCGGAAGAAGTAGCTCGGGAGCTCAAACCAAACGAGGAAAAGGAATCGGCCGACATAGCACAGAAAATCGGACAGCTCGTCACGTTGGTACCTGACTGTCGACGATAAATCGCCAGGTCCATTCCCTTCGACATGATGATGCTTGACGTGATGGTAGTAGTACGAGTTCCACGTATGTCCCATGAGAGGGTTGGTGATGTAGGGAAAGAGCGAGTCAAAGAGCCAGAATCGCTTGGCTAGAATCCCGCCCATGTGGATGTGCTGGTGCATCATGAGCGTGTAGGTTCCCACGTAGTACGACTGCATGATCCAGTGAAGGACGCCATGGACCCAAGTGAAGTGATAGTACAGGTAGAGTGCACTGGGGACGGACGTGGTAAAGTACAGGATGAGATGCGTGAGCATCACAACGTCAGTTTCTACACGGACGACTCTTCGTCCCAGCTGGATGTACGGCTGGAGGAGCCATTGGTTAACAGCAGACGGGAGTTTGGCCTTGAGATCGGCAGCGTCCCAGGTCATGGTGACGGTAGGCTCAAAGTCAACATGCTGAGGATTGTTGAAGGCTTCCAGTTGCTCGGGGACAGATTTGTACTGCAAATCGGTTTGGGATGGGACATATTTGAGTGTCTCAGCGGATCATGATTTCAAACATGGAGAGGGAATGTCTACCTTGAACGACGGGTTTCGAGCCGGATGATTGTGCCTGAATGTCCGAGAGCAGAGTCTGCAGAACCAGGAGGTCCGACCGAGTCAGATTCGGGTCAACATAGCTATCGGGTTCCATCATGACCCGTTGACCGGCAGATGCTCGGTATGATTTAGGATCGGGTTGTGGTTTGTAGAAAGGAAGACTTGGCTCTTTTAACTTTGTCCGAGAGAATTCGGATGGCAATTTTCGGAGAAAGTGAAAAGGAGACGGAGTGGGTCTTGCTGATGGACGCCATTGAGCGCTGATCGAGCACGGATAGAGCTTATCAGGGAGAGCTTTGCTCTATTAATATCTGCGGATTGTACTGTTGATGAAGGAATCGCAGAGTAAGTAAGCTTGACTCGAAAGTCTGAAGGATAATACCAGACAGAATGTACTCTGTAGAGAAGAGAGTCGAAGTGGCAAACACGTCAGCCTACGCCAAGAGCTCTCAGCACGTATCGTATGTTGAGTCAGCACTAATTTAATGTCAGATCCAGAGCTCTTTAATCATGATTCGACAGCAGTAGTAATAGATCGAGCTAAATAATAGCTCTTGTGTCACCGACATCATGACATCTATTCCAAAAATGTTCCGATGGAATGATGCACATTCCCCTGGCAATAACGTCACGTGGTTGGACCCGGTCAACTGGCCATCGTCAAGTTCTGCGCAAGTGATGACCGCTACATTTCAGTAGTATGATCTAGATCTTCCCCTGAGCCTGCCTCTGTTCCTACTGACTACCCAAGGAGTTCGGAAAACCATTTGGAAGGATCAAAGAGGATTAAAAGACACCTTTAGCCATCAAAGTCCCCTGATTATTGACCAACCGCAGCCTGTCCTTATGAATGAGTGGAACTCTACTATGATCGATCGAGATTAGGGCTCCCACTAGGCCCAACCTGGCCAGACACGGAAAATCCAACTGCTTATTCAGGGGGCTTTCGCCTGTTGACATTAATGATGCCTGGCTGTTTATCTGGAAAAACAGGTCGTGGATTGGATATGGGGTGAACCACCGCCTATCTAACCCACCCTCATATCCACGCGGGTTGGACTGCGGATAATGGATTATTATAGCAAGCGGCCTTCTTTTTTAGTGTTATACCTCAACCCCTAGGGTATCTGCAGATTCAATTGAATAATATGATGGTTAAATAGTGTATATTACGTACCTAGATAAGCTAGAGTGAGTTTAGTTAGGAGGCAGGAGGGCTATATATATATATCTTGTCACTGCCATCCTCATCACCACTACCCAAGATTGAAAATCGGTCCTAACTCTAATTTTTCTTAGTAGGGTTAATATTTTTAATTATATAGATAGGTAGGATCAGTCCCTATATACGTAAACAAGAATATACTTGGCTAGCCTAAGATATGGTTGAATAAGCTTATCTATATCCATACAGGTTGGGTATGGTTAACCATTTGGCTGCGGGTTGAATCAGGGCCAACCCAGATCCACATATTTTGCGGATTGGATCAGCCAGTCAACTGCTCGACTTGCGAAGTTGCGATATCAAAATGCTGGCCTCAGGTCAAGTGGCAGCAATATAGTCATGTCGATCTCTACAATCTTGGCACTGCTAATGTGATCCGTGACTGTCCGATCCGGCAGTGCTTGCTTGACGGTACTCCTGTTGTACTGCTGTTTGGGTATAATGCATAATGGTTAAATAGTATCAAGGGATCCAGCCCGCGTGTTAGTAAGATGGCGAAGGGAAGGTAGTTATCCGTCTGCGATGGGTAAATGCCTTCTTACTGACTTAGGCGCCATCAGTTCCTCTAACATGGCAGAACCTTCGCAAATGCTATGAATTAATGTGCAATCCGCACGACATGAATCATTGAGCTAATAGTTAAAGGGATGTCTTGGTCATTCAAGCACACTTCTTTATTCCGCCTCTGAATAGTATGGACCAATGCTGCCCATGCCATTAGGAGATAAGGGACCTGTTCAAGCTTAAATGAAAGTTGAGAGCTGTTGCAATAAGTAGAGCTCTTTCCTTTCCATCTTGAGGAAGCCTGATATTACCAAAGTCGAACACAAGAGCAAGTCATAGCGCTCTTTCAGTGAGTGATCTCCGCATTCTGGAAGTTACCTGTGGAAATTATTGATGTGATTATTGTATGCGACCATAAATATGGAATATTCCTCCTTGCGCGAGCTATCGTCGTCCAGCAGATGTAGGCGCTTGTAAGTTTGAAACCTAACATACACGCATCGATCATCGTTGGCGATAAATGGTTGCCGATCTTGTCAACGTTTATACCGTTGATCCGAAATGCCGAGCATCAATCCATTCTCACGTTGATCAGCGAATCCGGTCAGTAGCAATTCCCTTGCAGTACAGTTGAAACATGTATAACTCTGTCCATGATATTTATTGCTGGGTTTATTATTAGACGGCATAGTAGGCGACAGAGGACAGGAGACAACCAAGTCTCCTTCTATTCAACTGGGGATGTGACTGACTGATTTAGCAAGTATTATCACACTGTAAAGGGCCGCAAAGCATCAAGGGCTGACGAAAGCTGACTGCCTCTCCTTGCTTAAGCATGGGACGTAGTCTTACCAGAAAAGGACACCGTAGCCACATCGGTCGAGATTAAGAGGGGACCAGCATCACTTGATATTATTCCCTGCGCTAGCGTGCTTCCGGCACGGGGTTCTGCAGCCGGCATTCACTGCAATATCTTTCACACGCAGATGATCTGCCGGATGGTGCGGACAATAAATTTCCTATTTCGATGACACTACCTAATTCTTGATGAGGATTATTGTCTGCACTATCCGAGTAGAAAAGGGTCGACAAGCAATATCTGAAAACGACATCGTGGGCCATGGGGTCTCAAGACAGCCATTTTGCCTAAACTGGCCTAAATCTTCCGCAGGCATCGTGTTCTTAGATGATGTGCATCACATTACGGCAATCCAGTCAACAAGGATCCTTACAAGGTGGAAATTGCAGGATCTGGCTAGCATGGCATACCGGGCCGCAGAACCGGCATCTGCAGAAGTATACCCCTAAATCGGCAATTGAAGCCCAAGGAGAGTAATATTCATTCTTAAAGACGACATGCAGCAAAGTGTTGCAACGCGGGGAAGAAATGGCGCTAAGCATTTCAATAGGTAAATCTGAAACCCCCGTGTCCAGTTGAACGCAAGGTTAATATCGTTTAGGTAGTATATCCCCCGCAAACTGCAACCTGGGAGGGCTCATGTGGCTGCTGTCGGGAGTTGTGATTGGCGCTTCTATAGGGTTATCAACTCCCGGAAAAAAGCAGGAACAGGATTGTTCCACTGCATGAAATGAAGGATCAGGATCTTAGGGTGTTGGCTGAAGAAATGCGATTATGCGGGGCTTTCAATGAATGCTGCCATGCAATATTCGCTTACCCTTTTCGGTTGATATGAGTGCATACTGAGTCGAGTCTACCACCCTTTCATCGCGGGGATTAGTCTTTCGCTTCAGTCCGAATTCTAATCCATAGCATCCCTGAGGCTAAATGGATTTCTTGAACGGATGATATGCGATTGGCCCCTGGACTGTGTGTACCTTGTACCCTCCGGAAAGCCGGCGATGGTTCCGACCAAGATATGTGACAGAGGGATATAAATTATCCTCCGAGTCTCCATTGAAGTCGAGTCTTCTTTTCAGATAGTCATTCATCTTTCAGTCCTGAGGATCTCACCATATACGACGCCAAGATGAAGCACCTTGCATCTTCCATCGCATTGACTCTGTTGTTGCCTGCTGTGCAGGCCCAGCAGACTGTATGGGGGCAATGTATGCTCTGGCTGTCACTTGAATAAGACCTGATCAACGCTGATATGCTTCTAGGTGGCGGCCAAAGCTGGTCTGGCCCGACAAACTGTGTTGCTGGTGCGGCCTGTAGCACACTGAATCCCTGTATGTTAGATGTCGTCATCAGTAGAGAGTTATACTGACTTCCCCAGACTACGCTCAGTGTATCCCGGGAGCCACCGCCACGACCACCACCCTCTCGACAACGACGACGACCAAGACCACCACCAAACCTACGACGACTGGCCCAACTACATCCGCACCCACCGTGACCGCATCTGGTAACCCCTTCAGCGGATATCAGCTATATGCCAACCCCTACTACTCCTCCGAGGTCCATACTCTGGCGATGCCTTCCCTGCCGAGCTCGCTCCAGCCCAAGGCCAGTGCCGTCGCTGAAGTGCCCTCGTTTGTCTGGCTGTAAGTCGTCTTATCCCAATACTGAGAGCAATTCCTGACGGTTGTAGCGACGTTGCCGCCAAGGTGCCCACAATGGGAACCTACCTGGCCGACATTCAGGCCAAGAACAAGGCCGGCGCCAGCCCTCCTATTGCTGGTATCTTCGTGGTCTACGACTTGCCGGACCGTGACTGCGCCGCTCTGGCCAGTAATGGAGAGTACTCCATTGCCAACAACGGTGTGGCCAACTACAAGGCGTACATTGATGCCATCCGCGCTCAGCTGGTGAAGTACTCTGACGTTCACACCATCCTTGTCATCGGTGGGTCATACACCTCCATTACGCTCCGTCTTTCTCTGACATGTTGCAGAACCTGACAGCTTGGCCAACCTGGTGACCAACCTCAACGTCGCCAAATGCGCCAATGCGCAGAGCGCCTACCTTGAGTGTGTCAACTACGCTCTGAAGCAGCTCAACCTGCCCAACGTCGCCATGTACATCGACGCAGGTATGCCTCTCTGTCCTTTGCTTCCCATCCAGACACTAACTCGTCAGGTCACGCTGGATGGCTCGGATGGCCCGCCAACTTGGGCCCCGCCGCAACCCTCTTCGCCAAAGTCTACACCGATGCCGGTTCCCCTGCGGCTGTTCGTGGTCTGGCCACCAACGTCGCCAACTACAACGCTTGGTCGCTCAGTACCTGCCCGTCCTACACGCAGGGAGACCCCAACTGCGACGAGAAGAAGTACATCAACGCCCTGGCGCCTCTCCTCAAGAGTGCCGGCTTCGATGCCCATTTCATCATGGATACCTGTAAGTGCTTATCCCAATCTCACAAACGTACCGACTAATCAATGCTTCAGCCCGCAACGGCGTCCAGCCCACCAAGCAAAGCGCCTGGGGTGACTGGTGCAACGTCATCGGCACCGGCTTTGGTGTTCGCCCCTCGACCAACACCGGCGATCCGCTCCAGGATGCCTTTGTGTGGGTCAAGCCCGGTGGAGAGAGCGATGGCACGTCCAACTCGTCTTCCGCCCGGTATGATGCGCACTGCGGATACAGTGATGCTCTGCAGCCTGCTCCCGAGGCTGGTACTTGGTTCCAGGTATGCTATCTATTTTGCCAAATGAGGGATAAGTGACTGACAGATCTAGGCCTACTTTGAGCAGCTTTTGACTAACGCTAATCCGACTTTTTAAATGTGGTGAGAGGTAGAATTGCCGACCGTTTGCGTGCAGGGCTTTTAGTCTATTTCTCTACGCTATATGGCTGAAATAGCAAAATGATTACATTCTCTGATTTCTATTATACATCTGTTGCTATTCATATTGCCAATGGTAATCTGGCCCTCATACAAAATGGTCAGCGCGGTTCCGTTTCCACGCTGCAGTAGGATGGCACGTAGAGCAGGGAGTGTCTACAATTCAATAATGAATGGTGACTGTCATCTGGGCAAGGTGAGATGCACGCCATATCATATCCAGAAGCTTTTCTTGTCCTCTACCTGTCAGCCTGTTGCGTCCTCGGATGGTGCCAGGTTATTCCTTGCAAAAGGAGATTGCGGAGATTATCTCCGAGAATGCGTTCGTGCGTAGGGATTATCCGCCAGCGGAGTGTATAGGCTTTATCATTCGCCCACGAGGCAGCTTTGGGGTCCTGTTACTGATGTGGTCCAAGGCTTGTTGGGAAAGGGGTGTGCAAGATATATAGGGGTCAATGTGTGTATATTGATCTTGTTCATTCATCTATACTAATAGGACAGCACCTAGAATGCTTAGCATAATTAATCTTAACTATTGAATTTGTAGTTACCAGATGATTTACCTGTCAGGTGTATTAGCACACTGGAAAGCAAAGAAAGGATCAGTAGATGTAGCATCTGAAACTACCAAATCTATCTAATGTTAATATGTGAGGGAATATCTAGACCAGTCAGTTAGCAGCTATTAAGGTAATAAAATGAAAATCTATTATCTAACAATAGAAATTAGCCTGCGCCATAATATGACATGTGCTTCATTCTTGCTATATATTCATCTACTCTTAAGGCACCCTCCATAAGCCATTTTATTTTGCCTTTATTAGAATACATAATAACTTGAATCACTACCCCTGAGGTATATGTGTGGCTAATGCACCACTCATCACAGCCTTTCATAATAATATCACCCTTTCTGGGAGTTTACTATCCAATCAACTGTCCTGGGGGTAAAAGCAGAGGATCCGAAATCAGGCAACACAATTCCTTTGACAGGGGAACTGCAGTGGAGTATTGACTTTCCATGACCATTGGATTGTCGATCAGAACAAGTGGAGCACTGTGGCTAGTGTCAGCCCTAAAGGGCGAGACATCCCCCATTCATTTCCTCTTGGGGTCCTTGGCAGTCAATCCCTTTTCATCTAGTGATGTTTCTCTTGGCAGGCTATAGTCAAAGAGAGGCATTGTATATCAAACCCTTGGATTGTTGTTTCTGTGTATCAATAAGAGCAAGAAATGGATGGTACCGACACAGATAGAAAGAAGATGCTGGCATCTTCAAGGCCACTGATGAACTGTTATGTCTGCTGTTTTACGCTTCCCTGACCCTTACGGATTCTCGGCTTCTCCAGATTGATTCTTAATGTGGACCCTAGGATCAAACTACAGGGCCAAGACAGCCAGGAGAGGGTGCGTCCCCATCCAGCTGCAGCCCCGGCGATGCGCTGGGGATTTATTCCTTCTGCCTGATCCCTTGTTGTGTTTTACTTATTCATATACTCTTGAAATCGCTGGTTGCTAGCAATCTGACTCAACAAGCCTTCCTTTGATTATTCTATTCTAGACAAAATGTCCTATCCGCAACAACCACAACAAGGATAGTATGTACTCAGCCACCGCAGCATCTTCTTAGAGTTCCTTCTGACGAATGACTTGACAGTTACCCTCCCCCTCAGGGGCAATACCCACCTCCCCAGCCATATCCACCTCAGGTAGGAGTCGTATACCGCCAAACACATACGGACCATAACTGAGCCTTCAGATGCAATACCAAGCCCCGCCTCAAGAGGAGAAGAAGGATCGTGGATGTTTGACTGCTTGGTTTGACTCCCTGCCTCTGAGTGGATGAAATGTACTGATCAATTCCAGTCTGATGGCCATGTGCTGCTGTTTCCTTTGCGAGGAGGCCTGCGAATGCTGTATCGAATGCGTTGAGTGTTTGTGTTGTGGATGCTAAGCGATTTTGGTTCTCTGTTGTTTCCTGGCTGGGTGCAAGTTCTGCGTTCTCGGTGCACAGTCATTCGAATGTTCTTTGCTTAGTGGCAATGAATGACACTATGTTTGATGACTCTCATTTTCATCCCGACCACTCTCATCTATCGTTGACACTTGAGGAGACAACAGAAATATGGTTATGATATCAGCAAGCACGCGCCTGCCCCACCGACCCGACCTTAAACAGCCCCTGTTGATTCTCCGAGCGAAACATACCTGAAAGGTTCTCATTATGATTTGGCAAAGGGGGGTGAGACTCTTTTGTTTAGTGACGGCTTGGTTTCCGGTCACCAGTGCGAAGGCTTTGTCGAATATGCTATGCCTACAATTCGGTCTCAGTTTATCAAAAGGAGCTTGTTTCACCTCGATAAAGCTACGTAAACTGCATGTCCAAGATTCTCTTTTCCGCCCTACACAATTGATACGTATTCTGATTGTGTGTCTTATATGTGCTGAAGTAGTACTCATCAGGTTACTATATCTCTAACCACACATTGATAACCTATACAGCATGATAACAAGTGAGTAGAAAGTGATCATAGTACTACGGGTGCTCCTCCTGTATAAACATAATTTTTTCCTTCTATTGATTGTACCTTACTTCATCCAACAGACATGGCAATATTGCTACTGTTCAATTCAGGGAAAGATGAATATATAGACGCCTATGCCTTCGGCACTCCGTTTCCAAAAACTTGAGTGGCAGTAGCAGAGACCAGCGGGGACTGGTCCCAGAGGGTGACAGCTACCTACATCTACCATAAGACTTGTTTTATACTTACCCAAGTCTGTCTGTTTTAGCCCTATATACCAACCAACCAGCTAATCCGCATACAGCTATCCTAGCAGACCTGTAGCATAAAGAAACAAACTGGGTGAATGTAGAGACTGTATTTGACTTTAAGCCAAAGATTTTAGCAATAAGGAATGCCGCCCTTCATTATCAATCCCTTAGAAGTGAAGCAAAAGCAGGGTCCATACTTAACTATAACAATAGACAACATCTCAAACATTAATCAGCCTCATTTCTTAACTCTCAAACAGCTATAATATAAGAAAGGTCTTCTTGTGTAGTAAAGAGACCCCAGGCTAGAACATAACCTGCATCATAGCAAGCTCACTGAGGCTTGGTTCAGCTATTCAGCTTTCTTTGCATAAAGAGCATCATCAATAACATCTTCATCATACATGGCTTTGAGGATCTTGTCAGTAGACTGAGCCGTCTCATGCAGCAACTATGCTACATCTATTGTAGCAGAGGGGTTGGACTATTCAGAGAACTCATAGAAGGATAGGGTTTATACTCAGGACTGATCAGGACATCCCATTCCCCCAACTTTCACCTGTTTGGTGTTTCCAAGTGGATCAAGGGGCTATGTGTCGCTCGTCCTACTACAAGGAATGGTTGAGTGCGTCTGTTGTCGCTGAGTCAGACAGTAAACAATCTTTACAAGGGCAAAGAATTGATTGGCCACTTGAAAATCCATATATCAATGTACTTCATGTTTCTGACCAGGCCCTTTCTTTCTGTTCTATTAATCTCTTTACATCCCATGACATAGAAACTAAGTCTCATGGTAACTACCATTCATTGCTGCATCCCCAAATGCTCACGGCAGTTCCCTTTACATATTGACCGGTGAGTAATGGGTGTTACCGGCCTAGGTCCAGTCCATGACGGATCATCATCCGCATAACCCTTGTCGCCATTGTAAACTGGTATCTTGCCTGGTTGCACCTCCGGACAGATGTCTCTCATCGAACTTGATGAGCACAACTCAACCGTCAGCCACCAAAGCGTGTCGATCTCAACTCGCATAAACCCAGAATACCCCTCAAAGCCTGGTACAAACATAGGATCAACCATAGTAATAAATCCCATCCTTGGCCCACCCCAGTGCATGCTCTCCGCTGGCTCCTCAAAAGCATTCATAATGGAATTTAAGCAATGCTGATCAATGACCAGACACACTGTGTACCGAGGCACGACCTCCCCTATCCCACTACCCTGAGATGCGACAAGGTTCTTAAAATCCTCGCGAATCTGCTCAATTGATGCACCATCCCAGCGTTGTTTATCGTCAAGGATAACATTTTTGTATCCCTCATGGACAAGCCTCTCAGGGAAGCCATGATCCTCAGCCCCTGCATATCGGTTACCATCAACCTGGTCAATTTCCCAGTGGATATAGCGGTCGATCCTGTCCAGACAGGCAGACCAGACCTGATCAGACTCAGGGGTGTAGACCGTGCGGTAGATGAAGAAACCCCAGGGCCAGCCTTCATCATCAGCCAAGCTAACTAACTTCACAGCAGAGCGATCATCATCTTTAAACCAGGGCTGCTGACTCCAGCGCTTGTAACGCTCTGTGTGGCTATCAGTGAATTCTGGGTGCGACCACCGTGCTGGCCAAGAGGAGTGATAAAAGAAATGGTTTTTAGAAGTAATTTCGTCTCTGGAGTCTGTTAATTGGGCCATGCTGCGGCACTTGGCTTTGATGTAATAAAATAGCAGGTTGTAATAGAGAGGAAAAAGGGTACTTAAGAGTAGGCGGAGAGTTCTTTGTAACTGGTGGCAATGAGGGGAATGAACGGGTATAATAGGAAAATGTCCGGTTTTTGCTACTTGGAAATTAGTAATCATTATTAAAGACCATCTTATTAAAGAAAAGGTGTTTTAATACAGCAAAACATGCATTTATATATAAAAACTAATTATGACCATGATTAGGACACTGCAATCGTTTATGCCCGATAATATGACAGTCACTGCAGCGTGGGGGCGCCCGTATGCGGCGCTGCAATGTGTCTGGTGCATTCAGTTCCTGTAGTGCAGGTCTAGTCTTAGTCGATGCTAATGATATGTAGGGCTCTATAGCTGGTTCTCAGATTATTCCCAAACTTGTCTGGACACCGACAACTGCCAGGACCGTGGATTCCATATTGAAGAAAGTTATGACATCTGGATCTACAATCTTGTCACCAAAGCCATTAAGGAAATGGTGAGTCCCTCCGGTGGCTCGCCGACATACGCCAGGGATAATAAGAACAGGTATATGTCCTCCCTTCTCGCATGGGTTCGGGGTCCTAAGGCGATTATCGGAGGCCGCAACTTCCCCGGCTTCTATGTCTGGGACCTTGACGCAGATGCTGATGCTTTGGAGGGGTTGCCCAGTTCCTGTCGAACAGCGCTGGCGGAGGTAATCCAATGTGACCGCTATGTTCAGACCTTCCTAAGACAAGCCTATCGGCAGTCATTGCACAACGACACCCTCACCGCGTCAGTCTGCGACTCTACCCGTGCACAATCTTTGAAAGGCTGGTTTGACAATGTCGCCAGCATTTGTTCGGGACACAACGTCAGTAGCTCCGCCTCAACCAAATTCGGTGGGCAAATATGGGCAGGTTGGAACGAGACCTGTCTCCAGGACCCGGTCACAAAACAGTATTGCAATGGTACGCAGTGTGGGAAACTGGCGTTGTGAGGATGGCTTGCTAATGATACGCAGACGTGATCGCCGAATTTGACACCGTGAGCACCAAAGCTCTGCCACACGACCAGCTCTGCTCCTTTTGTTTTGTGGAAAGACTCAAAATGATGCAAAGGTCTCCATATTTAGTGTATGACAAATACTTTCAGGCAGATTTACAAGTTGTACATGAGAAATGCGGTTTGAATGGCCCTACTGATATGCCACCATCGCTTGATGCTGTTCCCGAACTAGACCCCAATCCGATTTGCGTGTCAGGCAACACATACACGACCACATCCGCAGGTGAGACGTGTGATTCCATTGCGCTAAAGTTCAATGTCTCGTCGGCGGCCTTGTTCATGGCCAACCCAGCGGTCTCCGTGGTGTGCGGCAACATCGCAGCGAAACTGGCGCTCTGCCTTCCCCTTCCCTGTGAGACCACTTATGTCCTCAAGGCCAACGGCACATGCACCTCGATCGAACTAGCAAATAACTACCGACTTGGGGATGTAAGGCGCTATAATTCGTGGGTGTCGTGGGACTGCAGCAACCTTCACAAAACTATTGAACTTTATGGCAGCGTCTTGTACCTGGGTCCCCAGGGAGGGACATATCCAAGCACCGCCCCCAACCCAGGGATAACAGTGAGCCCTGTTGGGAGTACAGGATATCTGCAACCAATCGTGCCGCCACCGTCCAACGTTACCGTCGCCAATGGCACGACGCTGCGGTGTGGCAGGTGGCATGTTGCTGTGGATGTGATTCATGCCCATCCATCTGCATACAGGAATCCATAACTGCGGATTTATTCTTAGAGGTCAGTCCTTCCTTGTCATCTGGCTTGGACTGCACTGGAAGCCTTGTGCGCGGGAGCGCCTACTGTGTTGGTCCTAATCCAGGTTGAAAACTCCCCTACCTCCGCCGAACGCTCTTCCTCTTCCCGATGAGGGTGTGAGCTCCTCGCCAATTCCACCTTCATCTACTCGGCCCACTCGGTGATAGCAGTCGTTAAAGACCTGGGAAGGCAGCTCCATGCTCTCGTTGACTGTAAATATATCATCACATTAAACCTGCACTTGTTAACACTTTCGTGTTGGCCCAGCCAATTATCAGCACAGAGAACCATTAGACCTAAGCCAACTGAATCCTTTGATGTAGCTTACCTTGCTGAAGAACAACGATTTGTGTGTTTCAATCTTTGACCAGATCAAACGCATTTGCCAACCAAAAATGAGTTGCAGTGAAAATGTTGTAGTAGGAGCAAGAATTGTGGACTAAGCTCGCAGAAAGGTTGAGGATATTTACTCATTCTGTTAGAGGTCTGCAATACATTACTATTTACTTGTACTTACCAACTAAGCGGTACATACCGTAACCCGCTTGCCACTTGTCAAGCGAAGGCCAGGTATGCTTCATGCCAAGTGTTATCTAATTCCACATTTGCGTATTAGTTAGGTAGTTAGATCCTGGATGCTGAGAGGGCCTCAGTTTAGCTAGTTAGCTGGACGGCCACCCAGAGCATAAGGCATCTTTGAAATAAGGCAGCACCGGATGGTTCCAAACCCTCGATACTAGAAAAATACGCCTCATAGAACCCTTGCACACCGATGTAGGTTGACCCGAGCTCCTCCTTTAAAACGGCATCTATGTGCTTCCGCTGCTCGAAGGAATTCACGAAGCTACTCGTGGTATGGAGAAATGGTGTTTGGTCGAGGAAGGGGAGACGTTTAGGAGGAGGGGTGGATTCGGCAAGGACGGCAAAGGTTTCGCTCCAGCTCCAAATTTGATGGTCGGACTCTTCTTTAACAACGGTAGTAAGCAGTGGGATTAGCTGATAGGTCTCAAAGTCGTCGGTGCTGATCGCAGAATGAAGTCTTAAGACATCGCTCAATAGGTTCCTGCGACTGTTCACGGACGGTCGCTTTCGCAGATCTGGCAAGCTTCGTAGCACAGAGACTAGGTGCAATGCCAGGTTTTGGATGTCTGTAAAAGGATTAGAAAGCTGCAAACCACATAATGTGAACAATTACCTTCACTGTCCAACCGACTCAGGGCATCAGGTGAGGGAGGAAGTTCTAAGCTGTCGCAAGTGCGGGTGTGACAGAATATAATTGAAAGAATTAGGTGTCTAATGACAAGCCAAGACGCCAGCTGTTGGGGACCTTATGCATAAATAAAAATACTCCTCTAGCAAATTCTCTAGCCCTGATTTTATGAAATATAGGTCATCAAGATCGCAACAGGCATCTTTACATCTTTGCCTGTTTTGCGAGCTTCTTCTCTCCTGCTTGATAAATCTTGACCAGTTGTCGCACGGCCAGATCCAGAAGGACGTCCTCTGATCCACCTGGTATGCGAGCTCCGGGAACATCTCGCAGAATCGCTATCACAAGTCAGCCTAGAGCCAGAAACCAGGAAGGCGAGAAACCTACCCTCAACCAACTCTCCCTGTCCACTAGCAGTATACCCAGCACCACCAAATAACAAGACCGCACACTGTGCACATTCATTCAGCACCATAGCCGCCTTGGCCTTGGCCAGCGCCGTGATCCCTCCCAGCTGTTGATCGGCTTCCTCTTTGCTGAGATGACACAACTGGTACAAGATCTGCTCCACCCACGCCCACATCGTCTCGAGTTCCGCGCCCGCTTTTGCCAGCCGGTGCCTCACCACGGGTTGATCCATCAGTGTCTTGCCGAACGCCTCGCGCTTCATCGTGTACTGGAAGGCGGAAGCGAGGGCGACACGGGCCTGGCGGGTGACGCCGACCGCGATCGTCAGGCGTTCATGGTTGAAGTTGGTCATGATGATGCGCATGCCGTCGCCTTCGCGGCCGATCAGGTTGCCCACGGGGACTTTGACATCGTCGAGCTCGATGTATGTCGTTCCACCGGTGATCTGGCCAGAGACCTTGAGTCGACGCATGGTGACGCCGGGGTGCCCTTTGAGAGGCACGAGAATGACCGAGAGACCGGCGGCTCCGGGCCCACCTGTGCGGACAGCCATGGTGGTATAATCGGACCAGATTCCGTTTGTAATCCTAGTCCATATTAGAAATGTTTCTCGCTTATGATATATTTTTCGGAGAGATACCATTTCTTTGCCCCATTGATGATGTAGTACTTTCCATCTGGAGTCTTCGTGGCAGTGGTGGTGATATTGGCGACATCGCTTCCGGCTTCTGGCTCCGTGATGGCAATGCAGCCACGTTTCCTTCCTGTGAGGAGATCAGGAAGAAAACGTTCTTGTAGCTCCTTGCTACCGTACTTGATGATCGGCGGAATGCCAAAAGCGAAACCAGCGCTCAATGAGGCCCCTGGTCCAGCCAAACCCGACCGGGCCAACTGTCACCATAATCAGCTTTCTACTTTCCGTTGGCTGGTTTCTCGACCAGCATACCTCGTCGCAGTAGATTCCCGTATGTAAATAATCCCATTCCTCGACCTTCACTCCCAGAATATCATGAATTCCCAGTTTCTTCAGCCAGTCCACGGGCAACGGGGCGGGCAGATTCGGCAGCAACATGTTATGCTTGCAGAAATCCTTGAAAACATGTTCCGGCACTGTACCCGCCTTCTCCCACTCCATAGCATGGCTGAGGAGGTTCTCCCATACGAATGCGCGGCAAGCTTTCTGGAATCGACGATGACTGGCGGTGTAGTATGGGGATGGGAGCCCCCGCAAATACGGGGGCTCGGAGAAGGGGATGGGATTGGGAGAGACGTCAGCCATGGTGTGTCGACTTCACAGAGTGTCAAGATCGAGGTGATCCTTGGTTGAATTCAGATAAGATCTCTCGACCGATTATGTGGTTCAGATATAGAATTATCAGTCGGAGATTTTCCCCGCATTTCTCCAACTCAGCCGAGGCCAGCGGTCCGAGGCTTTCGGCCAATCTACCAATCACATGTCTGCATTAGCATTTTGTGCATTTCTTAGCATACCTAGACTATATCTTGAGGTATCTGCCTCTCATGTTTGCTCGCAAACCGTAGCAACTCATGCTGTGAATAGTTTCGTGGGAGGCCAACAGGAGAGCACATATAAAACCACAGTTAGCGAAATAAGTATCACATCTGCGATACTGCCGCTTGCTTCCTCGGATCTTGTTCCCTTTAGGCCGTTGAGTATGACGCTTGGACGACCAACAATCAAACTGACAGATGAAGAGGGAATACAGATTAAGCAAAAGCCTGGTTGACGTGCATCGAGACTTGAAAAAGCAGGAGTCCGTCCCATGTGGATCTTGGAGGCAAGACTCGCCGTCCAATGACTCCCACCGTTCCTGTGGATGTTTTGGATATCGATCCTCTAGAATGAATGGACCTCTAATACAGGCATTATGTGTGGGAAAGCTGTCTTCTGAGTTAACGGAATTAAGCACTCTTTATCGCCGATTTCCGCATACTCCAACAGCTGGAATATCCCGAAGCCGTTTCCGGGCCGCTTCAGGCGTCTTGCATCCAACAACATCTTATAATGCTATCCTCATCGACCACATTGCCACCCCTTATTCATAACCATCCATCCACTTTTGTGCAACGCAATGGAGTGGATCGAAAGACCCCTGTCCTGGCTGCTCGCCAACCGCAAGGGCCATGACGCGGGCCTCATCCAGCATACCCCTCCTTTCACAGAGCATCCCGAACCATCGGTCACTGTTCAATGCCCAGATATCGGACCATCCGGCTCGCAGATCCCAGTCAAATACAGCTTTTTTGGAGACAACCTCTTCCCGACCCTCCAATGGTCCGCGCCGCCAGCCATCGCCAGCAACATCCAAGAGTGGCTTCTCGTTGTTGAAGATCCAGATGCACCACTCGCTGAGCCGGTTGTGCATGGTCTGTACTACGGTATCCCTGCTAGCAAGTGCAGTGTATCAAATGAGGACTTTAAGCCCACCGCTGCGGGAAGTCATGTCCTCAGGGGCGGGTTCAAGTATGGGGCGAATCGTCGGGGAACGATCTACATCCCTCCGCGGGGAATGCTGGGCCATGGACCGCATCGGTACTTCTTCCAGGTGATTGGGTTGTTGGAGCCGTTGGTTGTGAGTAAGTTGGGTGCTGTGGTTACCAAGGCGGAGATTGTAGGTTTGATTGAGGGAAGAGTTGCGGCATGGGGGCAGTGGATGGGGGTTTGGGAGAGGAAGTAACCATCTTTCTGCGGAATCCAGTATCTCTATATCATCTTAAATGTCTTTCTTGCCAGATATGCACTTACCGCATTGGTGCCCTCCCTTAAGGTAGTACATAGTCTGGTCACTCTAGTGAACCTCAGGCAAAAAGGACATGTGCCGATTAGCCGGTGACTGACTCAGGCAGCAGTCAAGCTTCCACCAAGCCAAGCTTTCCCCACCTCATCTGTCACTCACTATGAATGGCAACGAACACAATTACATGAGAAGAATGGGTGGGTTAGATGTCCTCTATGCGTGCTCTACAAATTAAATGTATTGAAATCATCTGCTACTTGTCAGATCCTGCAAATACCTGCTACTATTCCTTGAGTCCCTTGGTCTTAGCATCAAGGCCAACTCCCGATGCCGGCCCTGAACCGGGCCTCCACGATGGGGCAGCCCACAGTCTGTGCGGGCCTAGCTTAAATACTTTTCTTTTGTTTCAGGGTCGCAAACTTTCTGGTTTCACAACATCCGAGCATAGGTGACACCAGTCTGTCATAGAAACTGTATTTCCATGTCGGTTGAGAAGCAGCAACAGCAGCAGCAGCAAGATGCTCAAGAGGCCATCGCCAAAGAGACACAACCCAGTCAAAATGTGTCCCCCAAGGATTTCTCTGTGTTCACCACCAACGAGAAGAGGGCTATTGTCTTGATGGGATCCCTGGCTGGCTTCTTCTCCCCGCTCTCCTCCAGTATCTATTTTCCGGCGCTGGACACTATCGCTTCCTCGCTGCAAGTATCTATCACCCAGATCAATCTTACAGTTACAACCTATCTCGTATGTATATCAAATAAGGAGTCTTGAATGAATAACTGACGTGCCTAGCTTCTTCAAGGAGCTTCACCTATGTTGATTGCTGGCTTCTCAGATAAAGTAGGTAGACGGCCAGCATACATCATCTGCTTCACCATCTACATAGCTGCAAACATCGGTCTTTCGCTCCAAAACAGCTATGCAGCGTTGATGGTGCTTCGCTGCATCCAGAGCGCCGGAAGTAGCGGCACTGTTGCTTTATCCAATGGTCTCGTCGGCGACATGATCACCTCCGCCGAACGAGGCTCATACATTGCCTTTGCATCGATCGGGCTCATGTTGGGTCCGTCTCTTTCCCCTATCATCGGCGGTCTGATCAGCCAGTATCTGGACTGGCATTGGATCTTCTGGTTTTTATTAATCCTTAGCTCGGTCTTCTTTGCCATTTTGCTTCTGTTCCTCCCTGAAACGTGTCGTAAAGTCGTCGGTGACGGATCTGTTCCCCCGCCGCCTCTGAACAACAACGTCACCGATATAATCCGACATCGTCGTCGCAAGAGAGCTGGACTCGGGGCAGACCAAGCGGCAATTGCCGAATACCGCAAGAACTACCGCTTCCAGCTTCCCAACCCGCTCCCGACCCTCCTCATCGCGTTCGAGCTCGAAACCGGCCTGATCCTCCTCGCCGCAGGACTGGTATTCTCCGGATTCTACGCAGTGATGACCGGCGCATCCACCTCCTTCCATGAGATCTATGGTTTCAACGATATCCAGTCCGCATTGATGTACATTCCTATCGGCGCAGGGGGAATTGTGGCCTCCTTTGTTACCGGCCCTTTAGTCGACTGGAACTACCGCCGCCATGCCCTCCGTGCTGGCCTCCCCGTTGAGAAACGGAAGCAGAGCGATCTCAGTAATTTCAATATTGAGCGAGCCCGGCTGGAGATTGCCTTGCCGGCTTTTTACATCTGCTGCGTCATGATGATCGCCTACGGGTGGGTGATGAACCATAAGGTTAATCTTGCCGGTCCGGTGATCCTTCTGTTCCTCTTCTCGTTAGGTATTAGCTGCGCGTCGCAAGTGTTGAATGCGCTCTTGGTGGATCTGTGGCCGAAACGGTCTGCTGCTGCGACGGCAGCGAATAATCTGTTTCGCTGTGAGTTGGGTGCCGGGGCGTCGGCGGCCATTGCGCCCATGACAAATGCCATGGGGCATGGGTGGGCGTATACGACCCTGGCGCTGATATGCGTGTTGTCTACTGGGTGTTTGTGGTGGACGATGTTCTTTGGGATTCGATGTCGGCAGAAGAGGGCGCAAAGGGAGCAGGGGAGACGTCGGAGTTGACTTTGCATACTAAGCATGCATATTCTTCTTGTTATATACTTAGTTCGAAGATACATATACCGCTCAACTGGCGGTCATAATGACACTACTGCGATTACTTTCCGGCTTCAAAGATGATCTTCTGGGACTTCATCTGATTGAAGTCATCGTACCTGCAACTGTTAGCATGGTCAAGAACATAAACGAAAGACTTACGCTGCGATAGCTCCCGACAGCGGTCGAATATCAGCCGTCATGAACCTAGACATGGTCAGCCGTGTCCATCAAAGGAAATTGAATACACACTCCAGTGAATCCTGTTTCTTCACAAGTAGCTCCAACGCATCTTCAAAGATACTCCGAACAGGACACCTCCCCATCTGAATCTGCAGATTCTTCCCATACGCCTCATTCCCCGTCCAGGGAATCTCCCCATTATGCACACCCACACTCGAGATACGACCCCACGGCCTGAGCAACTCAAACGCCATCCGCAGCGCACTGCTATGCCCAACAACCTCAATAGCCACATCTGCCCCCCGCCCATCCGTCAACTCAAGCACCCTCTCCCGCAGCCCCTGCGCATCTGTCTGGAAATTCCACGCCTCCGCACCCAAGCTCCTCGCTCGCTCCAGCCTATCCGGCACACTATCCACCGCAATCAAAGCCGCAGGCCGATACTCCAACGCACTGATAAGAGCACACAATCCGACAGGCCCACAACCAAACAGCACGACCGTACTCCCCCGCACCACCTCCTCATCCCACCCTTGAAACGCATTCCTCGCGGCAAAGTACCCCGTCGGGAAAATATCAGCCATCAGAACCAGCTTCTTCTCGTCCACGGCAGCCGGCGCCGCGACCAGCGTGCCATCCGCTAGCGGGACACGCACATACTCTGCCTGTCCCCCGTCCAGGACCGCCGAGCCAAACAGCTTCCCCTTGGCGCAGCGCGAGGAACACCCCTGGGCGCAGTAGAAGCATTCACCGCAGCTGATGGTGAAGGGGGAGACGACTCGATCGCCCTTTTTAAAGTTGTTGACTGCGGGGCCGGTTTCGACGACTTCGCCGGTGAATTCGTGGCCCATTACGAAGCCTGTGCTGGAGGGTTGGTGGCCGCGGAAGACGTGGAGTTCACTGCATCTCTCTCGTTATTTGCTATGTTTTGTGGTAAGGGACGGGGGAGTCCGACCTGCCACATAGTGCTGTGTAGCGAACTTTGATGATTACGTCCGTGGGATCTTGGATCCGCGGGATTGGGCGCGTGTCCAGCGTGACCTCCAATGGGCCTTTGAATATTATTGCTTGCATTTTGGTAGTGGGGTTTGAGTTCGTGGTCAGTGATGGAGGTGCAGATATATCTGCCCTTCAAGTATTTCTATTCAAAGCCCTCCAGGTGGTCGTCCGCATACCCCGCGTCTGCGGACTGGGATACCTCGGCATACAATTGCCGATTAATGTGGCGCCATTTGGAGTTGATGCTGACACAGTTCTTGACCGATCCAACCGAAAATACTCAGTAGTTGGAGAAAATGTCAGTCGGCTGAATGTATAGCCTTGATAAGGTTGTTATTACAGTGCTTTGACTAGATATCCAAGCCGTCCATGCCGTCAGCTGGCAGAATATACTCTATGATCCGGAGAAGTAAGTCGGGAGTGTTTACAAGCGGCATGCCGTGTTTAGTAAGTTTTAGATCGTATATTATTATGAATAGAGCTGTAGTATGAGCTCCACAGCAGAAGTAACATGTCGTCAATCATCCTTCGTTAGGCCACATTCTGTTCCACCTTCCCATTCATCGAGCACAAGGTAGTCACTCTGGTTTAGGAACGAGGGCACATTCCCATCGGGGCTATATTGATGCAAATATTAGCATTTAGCATCAGTCAACAACGAAAGCGAATATCAGGGAAGGAACCATACTATATCGCGTAGAACTAAAGTCGAGGCCCCGATGGTTTTGAAAGTCTGGCGCCGACTTTGGTGATTGTTCTTTGCCCGCTACCAGCGTGGCAGCATCGCTGTAGACAGATGACGACTCATCCTTGACAGTCTTCTGGGCTTTCTCTGTCGTCTGGCGTTGCGATTTGGATGATTTGAAGGGGTTTGAGAGGGAGAGAGGCATGATGAAGACGTAAGCAGCTGATCTGTGTTCTTTCGTTGATTGCAGAGATCGATCTATGTCTTCAGACCTTGAATCATGCACATATTTATATTCCAGTCGTCCAGGCATACAGGCATACAGATTGATCATTGCAGGCAGCATTTTTTGTCCTCGGAGTTGAACATTCGGAGTAATGGATCAATCAAACTACATCTTACTAGAGTTCTTATCGAACTCCGACTCCGACCATCAACAAACGACCATACGAACTCCGTCCATCAATGAACTTCAAAAGAGCAATATTACAACAACCTGATAGAGTAGATGATAATTGCAGTCTAGGGCGAAAACTTGGATGAATCAAGTATAGTCCATACATGAAGCAAAGCACCGAATCCATAACCATCAGTCTAGCCAACCAGGGGCAATTCTCGCTCTTGTCGGACTATTCCCGATTCGGGGGCAAACTGGCCTGGGGAACGCCGAACGCCGTCTTACTGATTGTTGTCAATCTACTAACTGAACCACCAGTTGCATCCACAAACCATCCAGAGAACATGGAACGAAAACGTCGCAACGGCCAGCTCCCCTCCTGCGAGCCATGCAGAAAATCGAAACTGGGGTGCGACCATGCGAAGCCGATATGTAACCGCTGCGTCCGCCGGGGTCGAACAGACGAGTGCTATTATCACCCTTCCCCCCTCACGAAACCCCGCCAAAGCAATGCAATAGCACAGAGCCAAAACCAAGACCCGATTGCAAGTGATAGCATCCGCGACTTGTCTGTATCCTCCACAGTCTCTCGATCCTCAGCAGCGCATCATCCTGCTCCCCTCACAGAACCGCGCCAGAGCAAGGCAGCAGCGATTCGAAAACCCAGGCAGAAACTAACCCATGGTCCAAGCCAAAGCCACAGCCGGAACGCAAACGTCAGCGTCAATGCGAGTGTCTCCCCCATTGGCATTCACGCCGTGTCTGTGTCCGTATCCGCATCCGTCTCTGCGTCACCTCTGACGATTGGCGAGTCGCATGAATGGGAGAAGCGGCCATTTGCCAACCCCGGCTTTCTGGGACTAACCAGTTACTCCGACAACGTCACGGGGTATGCTGCTGTCTTGGACCATGCGATGCGGCCGCGAGACAGCGGGAGTTCCGCTTCAGGATCGATCGCAGCGGCGGTTGACTCGAGACAGGTGGAGCTGGGGGCGCAGGTGCTGCTACTCTTGGATCACTTGCCGGTTTTTGAAGAGCTCCTGGAGAAGCGGTTTGCTATCTGGGAAGGATGGATCTTCAGCACCCAGATGTTCCGGTGCTTAATCAAGGACCTTCGAGATCTGTACCGGGATGCTACGGAGGGTTTGCAGGACAAGTACGCATGTGTGCTGGAGCTGTCGAGGTCCTTTTTCCGCAATACAGCTACAGAAATCGAGTTGCGGGCTTCGATGACGCTGTCGGAGTATGTAGCGCTGAGTGCTGCTCGATGGGACACCTATGCGCTTCTCCTCTCTGCGATAGGCTATGCGATCTATCACGTTGCGCATGACGATCCGATCTTCCAGAGCGGAACCCTCCCGGGCAAGGATAGAAAGGGGCTACGGCGGATTGCGCTGGCAGCGAGCGATATTTGTCTACAGTTATGTGATAGATTGGGGACGATCAGCGATAGTCTTTGCTGCGCAATACTTCAGCACTCGGTCTTGGTCCATCATACGTATGGCACAGGCGGTAAGTTTTGTGCTCGGTCCGAGGAAATCCAGAATTCAGACTGATGAAAAGGACAGATTACAGAACCTGGCAGAAACTCGGTGATCTCACCACGATTGTCTTTGCTCTGGGCCTTCATCAGGCGGGGGACGACAGTAACATTCCCTTTTTCCTATCTGAGTTGCGGAAGAGGATCATGATCGGGGCATACGGCATGGACAAAGACCTGGCGCTGTTCCTTGGTAGGCCGCCCCGGATATGCAAACAGTACTGCAATATCCAGTCGCCACTGGACCTGACCTGGGAAGAGTTGATCGCCGCTCCTACAGTGCGGCAGGCTGCACTGCAGAAACTGGATGCGCAAGGCTGGAATACAGAGAGGAAACTGGGCAGCGGCGCAAGAGGACGTACCATCCACCTTGCCTGCTTGATTCGAGAGGATATACTAGAGTTGTCCATTGGCCAGGGCCGCGACAATGTGGAAGAACATGCTGAGTAAGTGCGTCCGCTTTGCGCTCGTGAGATCAAGCTCCGGTATTGATGATAGCCCGACAGGAGAGTCCTTAAGAGAGCACGCCAATGGCGCTCTGAACTGCCCGCCTTCCTGCAATGGGGCCCTGAGTCGACCAATCCAGAGCTTGCAAGCTTGCATCTGGAGTTTCTGCACCAGGACTTCCTAATCTATTCGACTCTCGTCAAACGAATAGGCAAGGGTCACGATGCATTGATCAACGTCTCTCTGGAGATCATCACTTGTTTACTTGACATGGTATCGATGCAGATGCGATCCCTCAAAACTCACATGTTGACGACCCTCGATGTAAGCGTTCTACCTCGTCACTGTTGATCACCGCTGATCGTACACAGCTTTGCTATGTTGGCCTTCCTGCTGCAGGTGCCTTGGCGACCGAACTACTCCGACACTCTCAGCCAAAACTTGAACCAGCGCTGTCTTCTGCACTTTTCCCTCGCTCGGAGGTCATCCAAAAACTGAGCGTATTCATCTCGCACGCAGACACCTTCATCCAGCAACACGAGGGAGATTATGAAATTGCGCTGCAAGGGCAGATGCTCATCAGACAAGTCCTTGATCGGGTACTATCGCCAATGACAGACCAACCGTTTCCTGATCCTCCCATCAACGGAATGACGATAGGAGATGATGTTGATTTCATGGCCTTGCTGGAGAGTTTTGACTGGGAGCAAGAGATCCGTCCCACGTTCAGCTGATGGGAAAGTTTCTAGCGCTCTCTATTGCAGGATTAGAAGGAGATTTACCCCGCATAAAGTGACTTAGTTCGGAAAAAGAGAGAAATAGGCTGCGTCAAGATCACGTATCATGCCGCCAATACCTTCAAAAATCGAGTCCCGCTTCATGCAGACAATCATAGAATGAGCCCCGTTACGGAGCTCCTCTATCAATCGGTTTGCATCTTGAACTTCGGTCACGGGTTCTGGGTGGTTTAGCAGCGGATAGCAGACCGAAAGGCGTTTTGATGACAGCGCCGCCCGGACCCGGTGCACCAGCATATACAACACGTAGGAGGCCTGCATCGCGGCACATTTAAAAAATGGCAGGGATCCGGTGTATCCTGTGGCATCGGAGCTGATTCTTGGTTCTGTACGCAGAGGCAGGTAAACTGAGAGTGGTAGGCCTGCTAGGGCACGCGAAATTGCAAGGGACGACTTTAAGCAGATGACTGATGACTCGTTCTGGGTGAAGGGAAAGATCGAATCCAGATCCGACTGCGCCGGAAGTGAGGCGGTCTGCGATGGAAAACCATCCAGCTTGAGAAAATCAAGGTCGCAATGCTTCTCCAAAAAGATGGGAATGTCGGAGAAAGCTCTGTAGCGATGGAGCTTGACTCGGGCACTTGCACATCAATACAATCAGTTTCCAATCTTTGATAGATTCGACCAAGGCACCCACGTATGTGTCATGGCACAAGCAGTCTTCCACAGGCTCAAAGCGGCCAGGTTTTCGGCTCGATCGTTTTTCCCTGCTTCCGACTCCAGGTCACAGTCCGCCGCCAATGATAGTATGTGCCTGTCAAGACGACAAGCCTGTTCCCGGAGATCCAGTGCCGGTGAACTGTTTTGGCTTTTCGCAGTTACTGGGCGCATCACAGCCCAGACGGAGACGATGGCGTCCTGCGCTTTCAGTAGGAGCGACCAAGGCTAGCGAGCGTTAGCCATATCACAGATTAAACACATGGGTCCGGCATGTGAAATGTTCGAAACGAAGTTTACTACCTCTGAGGCTTTACAGTGAATATCAAATCTAGGATATGGAGTGGTTATTCTCGGATCACTGATGTTGATGATGGGCGACTACTGAAAATCGTCAGTGCTTCAGATGCCTGTAGGATGTTCAAGTAGATCTTTCAGCCTACCGAGTCATTGATGGCCGACGAATGGTACATGATGATGACCTATTTGCATCATTAGCCCGCATTGTTCATTTTCTGGTCAGGGAACACAAACCGCAGTCCACCATGCTCGACGCTGTGCTTCTATTGCGTTCTCATCAAGCTGGTGAAGCGAATAATCCATAGCTGTGGTAATGGCTTGATTAGCGCGCATCCGCATACGTGACTTATTACCACATTGACACAAGTCATATACGCTGAGGACAATCAGGGCCAGAATCGGGTGCAACTGGGTCGGTAATTGCGGATGGAAAGTTCGGCCTTCTACCAAACCATCGGAGCTTGGCCAGCCGCCTGCAAAGTCCTCAATCTCCTTCTCTGCCGTACGGAGAGCAGCTTGCGCAAAGAGCTGAGCGTAGGACCGTCGTAGCCACACACTGCAGGGTTCGGATTGATTCCTATCATGCGGAGGTGGTATCAAGACCAGAATGGCAGATAGTGCTAGACTCAGCGAGGACGTCGGCTGGTAGGGCAGACAGGATAGCTTCACTGTGCCGGCCAGGCCATGCGAGGGCTGGAAGACATGTGGATTTTCCTGAGGCAGAGACGACGTCGGAGGAGGGGGCAGTAGAGGTAGACACGGATGGACAAAATGGTAATAGGCATTCTGTCTGCAAGACATCCAACATCCACAGTTAGTAATTACAAGGAATCACAAGCTGCACTGACCAGCGATGCCGTTTCCGCCACATACATTTCTTCTTCGGAAGTATACACCCGCAGAACCGGCCCTTGAAGATCACCTTGTGACTCCGTATGCGGAGGGGGCCAAACGTCTTTCAGAGCTCTGCCTGAATCCTGGTTCCTGCCAAGTGAAGAGAAAGGAGTCGCTGAACCCCAGAGATTCGAGTCCACAGGCGTCAGAGTGGACTCATCTGTCAGTGAAGGGGTAGACTGCGGAGCATCGATTATTGCTGCGGCCTGTGATGGCGGTAGCGGAGTTGACTCGACAGCCTGTCGATGACCTCGACGAGGCCCGCCCCTTCTACTGGGTCTGTAGGTGCAAATGCGATCTCTTAATGTGCACTTTGCAACACGTCTGGCATTAGCGGATTGAATTTACGGGTTCAAATGTATTGTACATGGCCTACCGGTCGGCACGGGTTTTGGCCGTCACAGCGTGTTTTCGAAGTGCGACTGGGAGGAACGTCAGTTACTGTTCAAAAATAACAGAGATTATACGTACCAAGCTAGACAGGCAGCTTTCACAGGGCGATTGATTCGATCATTCATCTTTGCATATGAGGAGTCACGGGCCGATCATTGACTCCAAAGTCCCAATATCGCCGACCATTTCGGGGAAGATGTCTATCACGTGATACTTGCTTATAAATCGCATTCGCGTCTGCTCTCTACGATGATAGATTACCTTAGTACACCTCGGTCATCGAATAAAAACTCCTGGGATCGTAATAACAAAGGTAGATGCATAATCAAACATACCAATAATTATTTCTGCATCTTGATTCCAAGGATTCTGAGCAGCTGGAAGTTCCCATTCCAAGACGGCGCACCAATTTAGGGTCGCCGAAATGTCTTACTGCCTGCCTTGGCGAGGTGCTGCTCCGTCGATATGGTTGTCGAGTTTCAGATATCTGCAACTTGACGAGGAAGGCATATATTCTTGACCTAGTCCTTGTTAAATATCTGATGCACTATCATTTCTATTAACTAGAAATGGTTGTCTTGGCACCTTTTAGCTCAGTGATTTGAGTGCACTCAACCGCCCTTGATATGATGATTCGGTCTTTGGCTCTGTGATTGACAGTATCTTTTCGGCGAAATATCCATTAACGGCCTAGGGTGGTGAACAATCATTGCTCCAGCTCAATATTCAAAAATGTTACCTATGCCACTCTTCCCTTATCAAGTCAAAAGTCCTTACTATCGCCAAATGACAAGTCAGATGTCCTCAATTCGGCGTCTGTTGTGTCAGAGATTACCCCGCTTATACGACCGAGACCCAAGAGCAAGTCAAAATTCAATGATCGCTGCTCGTATAAAATGCAAACGTATAATCCTGCCTTAACTCTCTGATGTAGTTTACCATTTCAACGACAGGGAATAATAGGTCGCGACCATGACTCTTAACGGAAGCTGCATGTGCGGTGCCATCACCTATACCTCAAGCTGTAAGTCAATCGCATTATTCGCCTATTCTCATGCTAATGTCTGTATTCAAGCTGAGCCCTTAATGAGCTGCCTCTGCCACTGCATTGACTGTCAAAAGGTATGGGCAGTTCCCTGAGGCCGAATACCCCTCCAGGATGGCAACGAAGACTGAGACCACCATTGAAAAGTGGACTGGCAGTGCATTCACCTCCAATGTTATTGTTCCAAGAGATTCGTTTAAGGTCACTAAAGGTATGACCACCAATAGGTGATATATATTCACATAGCTAATACCAGTCAGGAACTCCGCGATCATATGATGCCACGGGTGACAGTGGTAAGGTCAACAAGCACTTCTTCTGTGGTGATTGCGGATCGAGCCTGTACTCGGAGCTGGAGATCATGAGCGACAAGACGGGAATTAAGGCTGGCACGCTCGACGGTGGAGAGGCACACCTGCGCAACAAGGTCGACGTCGAGTTCTATGTCAAAGACCGTGTGCATTACCTGAATGCTCTTGACAATGCGAGGCAGGAACCTCGTCTCGGGTAGGTACTGTAAGCAAAGGGAGTTCAATGTCCCTTGCTTAGGAGGCAGGGTGCTGGTGGCCTGGTGACTGCTCTAAACTTGAGACATGGTCAGGGTTCTCTCAGGATCCCCAGCTTGGAGCTTCAGCATAAACGAGACCAGCCATGGACACTAGTCACAAATGAACACTGTCTGCATCGATCATTCCGTCCGGATTTAGCTTCTCTCCACAATTGCAACAGGATCAAAAAGGCGTAATCTGGGTCGGCGGTCCTCGGACAGGCGACCCGCGTATACCCGAATCTGGGGCCCCAGACCGATCTTTCGCGTTTGTCCAATCACGTTTTCTTTATCTTTAACCCTGTTTGTCTTAGAGTTTTGTAGCCAGCCAATGACACTTTCGGAGTCGGGCTGATTGCAGCATCGACCCTGGGGTTTCCGGAGACTTTTTGGGTGTGCCGCGGCAGGCCCGGTCGGGTCGGCGGGTCGCGGATCGTCACTGTCGGTCGGTAAGACCGTCGCATGATTCACACAGCGCCAGTAGAAAAAATCTCCACGTCTCGATCTTAGCTTCACAGTAGCGTTCTGGGCTCGCAACTGCCGCAATGCACTCCGTTCCCAGACGTACAAGAACTGCCGAGTCTGGAGCTTGTTCAAACTGCGTTAAAACGAGGCAGCGATGTTATGTTGGCGTCAGTGGAGGCTCGTGTTCGTCCTGTCGTCGGGCCAAATTGGACTGTGACGCGCACGGCAGCACACCGTGAGTCTTGCTCAGTAACATAAAAGGGATATTGATTGCATTGCTGATTGTTGCAGTCCTCGTAGCGTGACCGAGGAGCCAAGCTCGTTGCTCACATATTGTCCCGGTTTGTCACTTTCCGTAAGGTAGGGTGTCCATCAGGATGACTGATATCGTGAAGAGGATATATTCGCCTCGCAGCTCAGGGAAAGCGAGCGAGAATGCAATTTGAAAAACGGTATGGCCGGGAATCCCGCCGTCCCATCAACCATCCCTCTCGACTACCATATCTCTATCATCAATCAACTTTTTGGGCCCGGCTCCGCCGATCCACCGGCTGCCCACTTGCCGAGCTACCTGGCCGGTCTCCCAGACAGACTGCACAGAGACGATGTCGAGTATCTTCGACGTAGTGGGGCGCTTGACCTCCCCAGCGACACGCTCCGCAATGAGCTACTAAAGAGCTATCTGCTCTGGGTCCATCCGCACATGCCTATCCTGGGGCTACATGAATTTCTATCAGCTGTCGCCGATAGTAGTGGATTTCCTCGGATCGGTCTGTTGCTATTTCACGCCGTGCTGTTTGCTGCATCAGCTTTTGTCGATGTGTGTCATATCCGTGCCGAAGGATATCCTTCACGCAGTGTTTTCCGTGAGAGTCTATCCCGCAAAGTGAAGGTACCTCTCTACCCCTGCCTCGACAACGTTAGGTCCAAACTCATCTGTGCAGGTGCTTCTCGATCTCGAATGCGAAGACGACCGACTCGCTACTGCTCAAGCGATTCTGTTGATGGTATCTCACCCTGAGCCGCACCGCGACCAGAAAGAACTCACCCAGCGGTTGGGTATCTGCATCTCTATGATCAGCTCGTGTCAAACTCAAATGGTCAACGCAAACGCAAGAAAACAACAAATATGGAGACGGACGTGGTGGTCCATATACAATCATGTGCGAATAACATCGAGTAATCTTCTTACCTCGATGAACATTCCAGAAAACGGCAGTCTATGCGACACCCCTCTTCCCAGTACGCGCGATTTCAGATTCGGTGCCTTATGCGCCAACGCCCAAACATTGGTAGAGAGCTGCGACTTCCTCCGCGACGTGCAGTATCAACAGTTCCTAGCGAGGTTGTTCATTGAGAAAGCCAGGCTCTGTCAGATAGGACAATTTCCTGGACCATCAGCAGACTTGTCTGACTCATCCGGTCGCGAGGGAGGACTTGCAAATGCGGAGAACAAGGCTTCCCCTACTGAAATCGCAGAGTTTGCCCAGAGATTGGGCAAATGGCACGCACAATTGCCGCCAGCGCTTCGTCATCAATCGCCGGTCTCATCGACTGTCACGGAGCTGGAAAGGTTCATACTTATCCATCGTGCCTGGCTTCTATTGCTTTATCTGGCCTCGGCGTATGTCGTCTGCACTCGCAGTGTGGGGAGCAACAGCCACGCAAAAGAGCACATCCTAAACAAAACTAGCCTCATCTTCGATGAACTGCATCGCTTGGGTTTCATCAACCTGCTTCCTAATTCCAGCATCGCTATTCTCGTGCCGGGAGTGGAGTTTCATATCAAGGCTGTGGAATCGGCTCATCCTCAAACGAATGAAGCGAGTCAAAGAATGCTCCAAAAATACTCGGAAATCCTGCATCAATTGCAAGATACCTCTTCTCTTGCCGGTCGCATGATTGAGAAATTGAGCAATGTCACCGCTCCTGGAACTCAGAACGACCTGTCGAGATTAATCTTTTCAGAATCCGCCATAGCGGAACCGTCAGTCTCGCATCCTGATTTTGCAGTAAACGAAACTGACGACTTTTATAATTTCTTGGAATCGGGCATGTCCTTTGCAAATGTTATCCCGTCGGTAGATGACAGTCCAAACATCGGGCTTAATGACCCTCTCTCTAATGAGAGTTATCTTTCACAATTTCTGTGATGCTTGGTGGCTGATCCACGCGTATCAGCATCTGATGAATGATGACCTCCTGTTATTTAGGCATTAAAAGCTTTAGTTGGTCGAGAGGACAATAAATTGAAATTGGTAGGAAAATCAAATCGAATACACAGAAAATTTGAGATACTTGGGGGTGAAGGTGTAGATAGATCCGAGGAATAAAAGCGGAGTGGAGAGGAAAGGGGGGAAAACAAAAAAGCAAAAAGATACGACCGAAACGCGATTCGAACGCGCAACCTTTGGTGCCGAAAACCAACGCGCTACCATTGCGCCATCCGGCCAATTTGCTTGTGATATGGGAGCACCCAATAATTGATATACTAATAGCTCATGCGCTTTCGCATTATGTGCTTCGCTTTACTACTGCTCAAAACTCATACAATGTTTCCGGTTGGCATACATTGTCTGGCTCAAAATGATGAGACAATGATAAGCAATAACACTTGCGATTGATTGCTCCTTCATACCCATTAACTTCCTCGTCTTGGACACTAAGTCGATGGCCGTTGTCCGTTGTGTACAAATATATAGTTATCCGTTTCATCACGCTTCGATGAAACCTCACGGTCAGTATCTCGTTTCCTCAACAGACCTCTGTTCCCTTGGTGCTGACAGTTTAAACCTAAAACAAGAGAGATATAATATTGCACCAGGATGTGACCTAAGATAGCTCATCTCTACCAGGATGCATCCTGCAGACCGCCAAGGATGATCCCCCGCATGAATATGCATACGCGACCACGTTCTCCGATGTCCAACTTCCTTTCTGTCACTACCCACCTCAAGATACTTGGATCCCCTCTGCGGACATGTTGCTAATTCTTTCTGTTCTAGCAGCACTTCCGCTGGTGGCTTTCTGGCTACTCAATAAGCTCGACTACTATCGCACCAAGCAATTCGCAGCGTGGCCACAGCCGAAGCCGTCGCGCGTATGGGGTCATATGAAGGATCTCAACGCCTTTATTTCCCGCGGTGAGCCAAACAGGCATATTGGTAAGTTTCATCTTGCGAAGTTTCTCAAATGCACAAACTGATACAAAGAAGATCATGTATTCGCGGAAATCAAGGCCCACCTTGGTAACCCACCGGTGTATCTCCTCGATGTACGCCCGATACAGCATCCTATGGGTATCGTCTGCAGCCATGAGATTGCAGAACAGGTAGCCAGGAGCTCGAAGCAGTTCCCGTATGGTATGCCCAAGACCCCGACGCTGCAGGCTTATAAGTACCTGATGGGTCCTCATTCGATCCTTACTTCCGAGGTATATTCAACACCTAGGTTGTATGCTTAATATGGAAGACTTTAGCTGATAGAAACAGGGCGATGAATGGAAAAGCCTTCGCAAACGGTTTAATCCTGGATTTGCGCCTCAGCATTTATTGACCTTGCTCCCGTGCATACTGGACAAGACGGTGCCATTTTTCGAGACGCTTGAACGTTATGCCCAGTCTGGAGAAGATTTTAGCCTAGCTGAGACATGTACCAATCTCACATTTGATATAATCGGTAGGAATCCGACTGTCTAAGGAGACGTGTTGGTGCTCATATAGCTGTCTAGGCGCCGTGACAATGGACGAGGACTTGGGAGCTCAGCTTCCCCTAGACAAGCAGAGCGAGATGGTTAGGCTCTACCACGAGCTCGCTGCAAGCTACCACAGAAAGAGCTCAGTCCGCGCAAGCGGGTTGAACCCCTTGGTGGTATGGCACCAATACACTCTGGCTCGCAGGCTCAATGCCATTATCAAGAATCACATCAAACGCAAATTCGAAAAGTTGAAGGCAGCCAGCATCAACGAGAAAAAGTCCCGCAGTGTACTCGCCCTCAGTCTACAGGGTATCGAGCACCTTGATGCCCATGTCCTCGATCAGACTTGCGATCAGCTGAAAACTTTTTTGTTTGCTGGTCATGACACAACTAGCATCCTTCTGCAGTGGGCATTCTATGAGCTAAGCCGCACACCTCGTGTTCTTGAGTCTATTCGCCGTGAACTCGACGACGTCTTTGGATCTGATCCTTCTCCGGCAGCAGTTCGTGATAAACTGCTTGCGCCGGACGGCGGAGAACTCCTCACGAAGTTGCAATATACCTCCGCCGTGATCAAAGAGACACTCCGTGTATACCCTTCGTCAGGAACAGGGAGACTTGTACCCCAGGGGTCGGATGCGTATATTCAACTGCCAGATGGAAGATCGCTGTGCATTGACGGAGTCCTGATGTACAACTGCGAGACGCTCATTCATCGTGATGAGGCTGTCTACGGGGAATCGAAGGATGATTTTGTTCCGGAGCGTTGGCTTGGTGATGCCGGTGCTGATCGCATACCGTCCAGCGCATGGCGACCGTTCGAGCGAGGGCCGCGCAGCTGTATTGGCCAGGGACTTGCGACAATCGAGGCACAGGTGATTCTGGCTTGTGCGGTCAGACGGTACGAGTTCGTGAAGATTGGGCTCGGTGAGGTCGCGACGGACAGCGCAGGGGAGCCAATTCTCAATCCGCAAGGGCAGTACGAGGTCAAGTCGAAATTATTCAACGTGAGTATGCCGGTCTTCCTGGGAACCTTTCAACAAGATTGACATTTAAGACAGACAATGCAAGTGACTGCAAAGCCGGTAGATGGAATGATGATGAAGGTGAAGTTGTCCTCCGGTGATAGGAAAACGCTCTGATGTACTACTTGACATCCCACTCTTATCAGTACTCTGCGTCTGAGACCATCGACTTTGGATCACTTCTCAGATGCTATCGCATGCGGTGCACTCGAAGTACTAGTTACCGTAACATGTCTAGCTCTATCCGAATTCTAACTGAGCCTCAAGGCCTGACCTCTATGAGATTCTTAACCCGAATTCCATGCAATGCCCAACTCTTCTCGACTTCTTGCCCAATATGGTCGAATAGTAAGCGTAAGGACTTGCGATCTTCCTTATTGCAGTGCGGTGGACCTCTTTCCCAAGGTTCAGGCCAATAACTGACCTCGACATATGGAGTCGGCACCCACCCATCATAGAACACACCATATCTTTCATCAAGTAAGCCGATTCTCATTTTAGATTCCGTCTCGAATGGTACACCATGAGTCCAATCACTTGTCCCAATGCGAAACTGGCGCAGACGAGGCAGCCTTGTTCGGAAAGCGTCGAAGTAATGATGCCAACGCTTTTGTAGGAGCGGTAGTACCCGTACCCTGCCTCCCCGTCATCCTCAAGGCGGAGTTCCATCTCGTCTTTGCTGAATGAATACTCACCCAGCTTGTCTTCAAAAAGACATAGATCATAGAGGATCATGCAATCGTCCAGGGACAATTCACTCAAGGTGGCTCCATGTGAGAGAATCCACTCTAACTGGGAGTCTTGGAAGAAGGTAAAATTTCCCAGAACAATGCTTTCAAGACGCGGAAAGTGTACCTCGCTCAATGCAAGCTTTGGGCGAAACCCAAACCACGTGTCGCAGAAAAGGGTTAGGTGTTCAAGAGAGGACGCGGTTGGTTTTAGCCACACCGACGGAAGCTTTGTAAGAAAGGATTGAGACTCGGGAAATAGACTGAATCTGTCCTGGTTCCAAAGTTCTTGAGGATCTTCTGTTGTTGCAGTATTGTGCTCGCTCACAATGCTTAGTCGAAGAGCTCGCAAATTCCCCAGCACTTAGTGATTCTATTAGATAGTTCGCCGTCTTTGATGTTGATATCCTGCAGATGCTGAATACCCAAGGATTGCAGAGGTACCTCGAGTGAAGTCAGCCATACAAGATGAACATAAGCGATGTGTCGAACTCCTTGTCCAAGGATGCGCTGATGTTACGAAAGGGGACATTGAGGGCCGAACACCGCTCGGGTCGGCATGGGGGGCCGGGAAAAGCTCACTGAAGAGTCGTGATGCGCTTATTCGAATACTCTATGACCGCCATCCAGCTTCAAGCTCGCTGCTGTTCATTAAGCATACACGCCTCTGAGGATAACATGACCAACGACCTGCATCGATAAAGCTAACACCCGACTGAAGTCCGGAATCATGCATCCTGAGAGTGAAACTGTTGGTCGAGGGCAGGTGATTGCAGGCATCACATCAGAACTGCAAATGTTGACTCTACCATGCGAGCGGGGGTAGGATATCCTTTTATTATTAGCGGTACCTGATCTCCCGCGGAGTTAAGACACTCAAGGCATTGGATGGATGGATGGATTGGCTGGTTTTGTGGTCCTAATTACCGTACTGCATGGTAATACCCCCCAGGCAACAACAACAAGCCTTTCCAAGCTTTTTGTCCATCCAATAGTTCTCCTTTTATTTTGGACATACCCCACTTGAGCCACCACACAGAACTTTGCTGTCAACCAATCACAAAATTTCGCTCGCTTTGATTTTAATATTGAATTTTCGAAGATTTGGTACCTGGAGGGTTTTCTCCCTAACCTTTCCATGTTTTTCTCAATCAGATAAACATATCTCAGTAATGAACAGTCAAATATATAGCCGGGAAAGACTGGCATTTGTGTCAATTACTGACATTTAAATCGTAAAAGTCTTTGATGGCTGAATGGCATACGTCGGCTCGACACGCGGCGGGCCTATTATTGGAGATAGCGCCCACTCAAAGGCCGCAGCCATCAAACTGTTTACCCACCCAGCTCCACAATTGGCCAATAGTGATGCGCTGCTTCATCGATTGATTTCGGTATGTTACGTAGTTGCTTGCAGCGAATGGCAGTTGGAGAGATTAATCTCCGGGCGCCAGGCTCATTTGACGGCAGCTTTGTTCTTCCTCTTATCAGGATTTCTCCTCCTTGGGCCTCCGTCCTGCGGTGACTTCACACCAGGAAAACCTCGCCATGCGCTCACAATCATTGCCACGACTGGGGTGGAATGCCCTCTGGACAACACTATTTTTTACATCGGTGGCCCAGGCGATCGATGTCAGTATCAACGATGACCGTAGGTGTTACGATCAGCAAACTGCGTTGCCGGACTAACACCGCAGTAGAGTCCATCAAAAATGCTGCCAGCACTGCTGCTTACGGCGCGATGAGTTACTACCATGGCAACGAGTCCGGACAAATCCCTGGTGCGTTTCCGACGAAATGGTGGGAGGGTAGTGCCCTGTTCATGGCGATGCTGCAATACCAGTACTTTACCGGCGACCAGACCTACAACAGCGAAGTGAGCTTGGGTTTGCAATGGCAAGCTGGAGATGGCGACTACATGCCGTCCAACTACAGTAGCTACTTGGTAAGCACGGTATTGAACAAATACAAGGCGAGTATCTGACCAGCCAAGGGAAACGACGATCAAATGTTCTGGGGTCTAGCAGCCATGCTCGCCGCAGAGTTGCAATTCCCCGATCGCTCGGAAGGTTACTCCTGGCTTTCTCTCGCACAAGGCGTTTACAACACGCAGGTCGATCGGTGGGATACGTCAACATGTGGAGGAGGCTTGCGCTGGCAGATCTATACATACCAAGGGGGGTATACAATGAAGAACGCCATCTCTAACGGGGGGTTGTTCCAGCTAGCTGCCCGTCTTGCGCGTTACACCAACAATCACACATATTACGAATGGGCCGAGAAAGTATGGGACTGGAGTTGCTCGTCGCCTCTGCTCAACAACAAAACGTGGAGCGTTGCCGATTCCACCAACATCGAGGACGGTTGTAAGAGTCAGGGGAATAATCAATGGTCCTACAACTACGGGACTTACCTCATGGGCGCGGCATATATGTGGAATTACGTACGTCCCCGGAAATCAACCAGAGAGTATACCAATACTGACAAGTTAGACCAACGGAACCAACACAAAGTGGGCAACTGCCGTCGACGGCCTGCTCAACAACACCCTGGACCTCTTCTTCCCCACCAAATACGGCGGCAACATCATGTCCGAGGTCCTCTGCGAGCCGAACGAAGTCTGCAACGACAACGAAATCCTCTTCAAGGGTCTTGTCACATCCTGGCTGGCGTTTACTGCTCTCCTGGTCCCCTCCACTTACGACAGGATTCTCCCCAAGCTGCAGGGCTCAGCCGTGGCGGCCGCCGCAACCTGCACGGGCAACGGCAACAATTCCTGCGGAGTGCGATGGTACACTTCGAAATGGGATGGATGGACGGGCATGGAGGAGCAAATCAGCGTCACAGACGTCTTGTCTGTCAGCCTTATTACCACGAAACATAAAGGACCAGTGACCTCGACTACTGGCGGGAACAGCACCAGCGACCCGACTGCGGGCTCGGGAGATAAATCGGCACAGACCACTTCTACCAGTAAGATCACCACGGGTGATAAAGCGGGTGCTAGTATCTTGACTATTGGCTTCGTGGTGGGATGGGTCAGCTTGATGGCTTTTATGGTCATTGGAGGTTAGGGATGAGCGTGTGGGTTAGCGTCGTCGTGTAATTTTATCACATCTGTTCTCATATTCTCTGTACATAGTAGACCATGTTCACTCGACCAGGAATAATGCAGTCGCAGCGTTGGGCTCCGTGATTGACGGTGTCAGGCACCATGTAACCAGATCGCTGAGTCTGTGGGATAGCAGTATTGGTCTGAGACAAATCCATAAAAGCGATTTCTAAATACTAGTTGTAATGTCGCTTTTCTTATGTTCAAAATTCGTTCAAAATTCGAGTATTGTTTGTTCTATGCCTCTTGGCGACAGTCGAATCAATAACCCGACACATTAAGTGTAGATCATCAACAACATCTGCCCGCATCATGAGATCATCGTCCCAGTTAAATCCCGATCGAGACTCAATCATAGGTAGGTAGCTCCATGATGTCAGCGATGGCACTCGATTCGCCGAGAAGCTGTGACGAGTTCGCCTCCCCGCACGTCCCAGACTGGTTCCCCAAAGTGTATTCCCACGGGATTTAAACAGACACACCGCACTTCACCTCACCTCAAACAAAATAACTGTCCAAGCCAATACATCTTGAATGCAGAATGCTCCGAAATCTCATCCGTACAACACAAACAACAACCCTCCGACCCCGCGTCTACATCTACACACCCATACTCACCCGCTCAATCCAAACCCATCCCCAACCCAGCCCGGACGAACTCGACCGCCAAACCCTCCACCCAGAACGAGCCGAAAACACGCAGTCCGGCACTGACGACGAGGTCGCACGGCACACCTCCTCCTACGACCCCTCGACCACAACCCCAGAGATTGAGTCACAGGCTCTCGAGGACGAATGCAAGCTCCTCGGCGAGGTGGATCCCTTGTTCTTCAGCCCTGCGCACCGCGAGGTGAGCGCGCTGCTGGATCCGAAGCTTGAGGTTGCGGTGCATACGATTGAGCATTTGAGTCCGAGTGCGAAGGGGTGGACGAGGAAGCATAAGGAGGTGATCATCAGGAAGGTTCCTGGGGCGGGGAGTTTCGATCAGTTTGAGAGATTGTTGAAGGGGTTGAGGGATATTCAGAAGAGAGGGGGGAGTGGGGGGTCGGGGTCGGCTGTTACCACTTGAAATCAGGTATGTATGACCGTGTTGAAGATGCGCTATATCCAGTGACATGGTCAGGTCCTTACTAGTGGGTTGTTTGATTGTGATGGTATGCAATAACGGAGTTTGGGATTCAAAAGGTAGTTGATTTGAATATCAACTTTATCATTATGTATATAGTCTATCGTGGATTATAATTGAACTAGTGTGCAAGTTCCTGGTACAGTCAGTGGAGTCCATCAGAATGTGTAGTGGACACTTACACTTGCGAATTTGCTCCTGGCGCGAATCTTGGGTCCAAACAGCAGAAGGACCCAGGGGACGATACACAGCAAAGCTCCCTGCCAAGGTCAGCTTCGACTCCTTTTTCACAAATACAGAAACTTACAATTCCACCGAGTAGACTGGAAGCACCCGGATATCCCAGATTCGTAAACATGGCGTTGGTTACCAGCGGAAAGGCACCACCGAGGAGATTCCGACCTGTCATCGAGTGAGTACGCCGGAGCAACGGAACACGGAAAACCAACATACAGCAAGATTGCGCCGCAATCGCCGAACTGGCATATCGGTGATAGGTGTCTGCCAGATAATTAAAGGTTGCTAGGTAGACCGAGAAGATGCCCATGGTAGCGCATCCGACTGCTATCGTTGGGACAATCCACGGAATGGAGGGGTAGGACGTCCAGCCGAACCAGAACAACCCGATTGGCATGAGGAGTGACTGGATGCAGACGAAATAGAGCCGTCTTTCGGCGGATTTGGGGAGAGTGACGAAGCGTCGCGCAATGCTTTCTTGGTAGATGCTAATGACGGTTATGATGATGACACCAACACACATGGCTGGAAGTTGTTAGCGAGGCCTATATCCGGAAGGTGGGTGGCATACAAGTGAAGACGGCTCCGCTTTGCTCAACGTTGAAGCCGTGGTTGGTCTTGAAGACCAGCGGGACGGAACCAAATTGGAGATATAAAACTGCCCAGCTGAAGGATACCCACAGAGAGAAGAAGAACACGGTTGGCTCGGTCACAAGTAAGTCTTGTTCCCGGGTTAGTATGGCGTTCGACGGATAGTAGATGGATGATAACTCACGGAATGGTCGATAGCACGAGATACTGATCATCTGGGCCAAGGATGCCCTCTCCTCATCACTCTTCACCTTCCACCGGATGCGCTTGACCGTCTCCTTATCCGACATGATGACTCCGTAATGACCAGCACTCTCCAGTTTTTCATAGTACGTGTTGAGTACTTTTGCCTTCCGACTCAGAAGCACACTGCCTCGGGTTTCTTTAAAGAAGAGATAGATGATAACAACAAAGACGGCTGAGACGATGGCATGAGAGTACCAGACCCATCGCCATGTGGTGTGCTGCACAACGGCGCCAGCAATCATCGGGGCCAGTCCAGTACCGAAAAGAGCAGCACCAGAGAACAGCGCCATGGGAGTATTCCGGTCTTCCGCATGGTAAATATCGCTGATCACACCTCCCACCATGGTTGAGAATGTCGCTGCAGCTGTCAGTAAGCTGCGATAACAGGAGTGTTTATGAGAGGATTGACATACATCCGCCTGCGCCCTGGAAGAATCGTGCAACAAGCATTCCTCCAAAAGAGTGAGTGCCTCCACAGGCAATGATGCATGCTTTGAACGCAGATTAGCATCGAGAACCTTTGCCCGTCATTCCTGAGAAGTACCATACCAACAAAGACAATTCCACTAGCAATGAAGATTGGCCTCCTTCCGTTGATTTCTGAAAACGGAGCCAGCACCATCGGCGCCAACGCAAATCCAACGCAGAACACAGTGATGCCCAGGTTATAGACAACCTGGCTAATCCCCCATTCCTTGGTCAGTTCAGCCGACGACGGACTGATTTCGCCAGCTGAGTAACCTGCCAATGCTGTAACTGCACAGGAGATCCATGTCATCATGGACTTGCGCCATTTCGGCCACAAAAATGGATTGGAATACTTCTTGAGATCCGGACATTCTGGGGCGGGTGACTGGCCTGGTCCCGGAGGTGATGTGATGAACGGTGTCGGCAGAGGCGTGTCCAATTCTAGGTATAGATATTCCACTTCTTGGTTGCGAGTGTCCTTTTCGGGCTCCCTGTCCATGGTTGTATTATAAAGGACGTCGTAGATATTAAATCACTTGATGGGCTGCACACTGCTGAGATGTTGCCTGGTTTCCTGCGCCATACACCTCTAGAAGTTGACAGTGGGACAAGCTTCAAGTGATATAACAACAAATGACGCACAGGTTATCGTATCGGCTTTATGAGTCGTGAAAAACTCGATCCGTTTACTATGAGTTGGAGAAAATTGGAGAAAGTACCTCTATAGACTCTGTCT